CCCCAAAACCCCAAAACCCCAAAACCCCAGATATTTGACCCAATGTTGAATTATTACAACCTTGATATCAGTTTTTGAGACAAAGGTTTCAGATAGGTATCATAAGCCTCTAATTTCTCTGATTTGTTAAGCGGGTTTTTAGCAACTTCTTCGTAGAAGTTCTCATAAGCATTCTTGCCATCTTGGAGCAAGACGGAGAAGCTGTCTTTGTCTTCAAAGTGAGTCCCTTCAATTAGAGCTGAGAGCTGAGGTCTGATGTATCCAAATAAGATATCCATTTCATCTTTTATGCTGAACATTGTCTCTGTAGTGAGATAACCTTGGATAAATGCTTCTTGGCCGTGTTTTAAAATATTATCACATATAAATATTTTGCAGAGAGCCTGCAAATTATTAGTCAAATTTTCCGAAAGATTTGCGTCAATAATTTCTTCACTCGTTATCTTAGCAGTTTTATAAATGGCGTGGTACTTGGCTGATTTAATTATATCTACAAGGTATACCTTGTTCCATTTGATAGATTCAGGAGTTTCAGTGTCTTTATCCATATCCTTTCTGGTCTTATACATTTGACAATAGGCACAAGCCTTCAGGAGTTCTAAGAGGGTATCAATTTCATGAATATCTGGATTTGACAATAATTTAATCTATACAATAGAAATTATGTATGTTATTACGTCATTCTACTTACACTTTCTTCCTGTTTCTTTTTCTTTTTAAACAAGTCCCTCGCAGTCTGCTGGAACATGACAACAGCATCGCCTTCAAGAGTAACATGAGCAGACTTAACATCGAGGAGGAAATCAAATCCCGATTTGTTCCAATATCCATGAGCTCCACAGAGCTCTCTCAAAATCTTAAGTGATTCATAGCACTCATCCATGTAGTAGGCCTTGAAGGAACAGCAAAGTGTATGAAGCTTCTTCATAAGTTTGAAATTGCCATCCTTGATCTCCTCTTGCATTTGGTTATACATCTTGAAACATCTGATGTAGCCAAAAAGGTTGCCAAACGTAAAGGAAATTATTGGAATCAACTTCTTCTGTGTGGCTTGGTAATCAATAAGCTTTCGTTCCTCTGCAGATCCTGGTATAGATTTAAACTGTGAACGGAAGGTTACATAGTTTAGTGTATAGTAGATACCATAAAATAATGCTTGCCAACTGAATCTGAGTAATGTGACTCTTATCAACAACATCGTGGCATATGCTATCTTGGGATCGCCCTCTAGAGTAATCATACCATCTTTGGTAACATTCACATATCTTGAAAGTATAGCTTTTCTTGGGATTCTGAACTGATTAAATGCTAGGTATCCATTATCTTTAGTAGTATATCCAGCTTTTGGGCCGATTTCACCAACTTCTATACCTTCCAAGGGTTTGTGGGTTACTTCGTCCCTGATCGGGGCAAAGAAGACATTGACTCCATAATCATCGCCGTCAATTATAAGCCTTGCAAATACTACTGCATGTGTGCAACTAAGCCCTAGTTCTCCTGGCCAGAACTTATATGACTTTACATTAGGAGAATGGAGGATGAACTCCTGGTTTTCTCTATCAAAAGTTGCTGTAGTCATCAGTCCTTGGACATCTGAGCCATGGCCTACTTCTGTTTGGGCATAACACCCAATGATTTCTTCTGAGCATGCCTTTTCGTAATACTTCTCAACTTGCTCTTTTGAGCCAAGAATGTTAATTATAGCGGTAAACATACCATGGTGAACATTAAAAGCGTAAGCAGAGTTATACGAGACCCCATAAGCACTATAATTCAAAAAATCTGGTCTTTTAATATTATTTTCCTCCACCATTTTCCTAATCTCTGGAACTCTTCTATAAATCTCTGCCATCTTATCATGCCTGTCAAGGTCTCTCTCTGTGCTTTTATGCCTAATATTCGGATTGTTCTTAATCAGGCCATAAATCTTGTTCATCTCATCGTATTCCTGCTTTCCGCCATGGACTAGGTATCTCAGTTCATCCAATTCAAAGTTTGCTTTCTTGACTTCTTCAGAATACATATTAGTTTCAGCTTGAGCTGTGACGTAAATTATTTAAGCAAATCATTTTTCAGCATTTTATCAACTATTTGGGGTTTTGGGGTTTTGGGGTTTTGGGGTTTTGGGG